GGGCAGAGAAAAGATCCACATACGACCAACCCCAAATAAATTAGGGTGCTTTGATGTCCAGATAGGATATAATAGAGCAAGAACTGGAAAGGACGGGGCAGATAAAATCGCCAATTTACCCAAAATGAGTTATTTATATCTTTTGTGTATTTTGATTAATTTATGTAATTTATTAAATTATAATAAAATAAATATATTTTATAACAAAATTTATCATTAGAAAGTTTCTGTCAAGAAAATTAAAATGACACCAAAATAAAAAGTTTATGTAGTTTTCAATTTTTATTTTATACCTTTTCTATATTATTTTTTAATTACTAATAACTAAAAAATTATATAAATTAACCAAAATATAGAAACCGTATAAAAATAATATTTTGAGGACCATAAAATGAAATTTTAAAGAGCATAAAATACAATAAATAAAATTTAAAGAACGAATAAAATGTAAAGAGGGACGAGTATTTGATGTTTTAGAAGAGAATTAGGTTTTATTTTGAGTTATATAGGTTTGTTCCATGGAGTAGGGGTGAAACACGCATGTTCCACTATGTTCATATATGTTCAACATAAAAGTGTTGTCAAACATGGAACAGTGATTCATGTTCTGTTCTGTCATGTCTAGTGCATCAAACGCACCCTTAAATTAACATTTGGTATGCAAACTTGACTGGACCAGAACGAATAGGACTGGATTACACAGGATTAGACAAGTTGTATATCGAGTGTTTGCTACGATTAGGATCGAGAACTATGTACAAGTTGCCCTGAATATTATTCATTGGTTTTAAAGATGGTGGTACCTGTAGCTGACAACAAAACATCATCTCCACCAGGATGATCCTCCAAGAACTTCGTCACATCAAACACCTGCACCAAGACATTGAACCCTAATTATTATCAAAACAACTCAGTGCACGAACAAATACGAAGACCTAAATTTTCTTTTGGGAACTTTGTGACTGCAATTTATCAATATCCATGGTCATCACTACAAATGTTCTTTCTTATTATATGAAGAAAACCAATCAAAAATGGATAAATCTAAGGAAACTATCATCCTAATTGTCATAACCATTTCATTTTTTGCAAGATCCTTTCGCAAATTTAACGATTTGGATACGATATACTGGTGAAAAATTGATCATGATTCAATCCCCAATGCAAACCCTAATTCAAAATTCTATTAGTCTGACCTAATTAAGACAGATAATGCTCCACTATCTGGGTCAACGAAAACCCCCGAATTATTTGATATAACAACTACCATTAAATTTATAACATTCAACAGCGAAAAAAGCTGAAATCACTATCAAAACGATCAAATCCACATAAATTAGTCATCAATAACACAGAAGTTTCCGATATATTCAAACAAATTAACAAACCGACTGAATTCACCTGCCACACAAAACACACAGTTCCATCAACGTCACTGGTCAAATTTCAAATCAAGTCAAACGAAAATTTTCAATTATTCAAATGAGATCTCCACCAATCCCAATCTACACATGAATAGTAACGTAAATCGACGATTTCAATCTTTTTTTTCAAACATATGAACATATATACGCACCTTGCCATGGATTATGAGCCAGCAATCTTTGGGATCGTTGTGCTCAGCAACCTCTTTCAAAGTAAATGCTTTACCCATAGGAGATCGCACAAAGAATACAGATATGGAGTAGATCTGTAATGGCGATCTGTGAAGATGGCGATCAGATGACTTTAAAGAGCAAAAATGGAGGTGGATGGTCAAAGATTTAGGTGGGTAACTTATGGTGGTTGTTGAGAAGAGGGAAAGGAGTGGACTGATATCACATAATGTAGGTGCGGGGTTGGTGAGCAAGTAAAAACAAACAAAGCCACCCAAGAATTTGAGTTGAAACTCTGATTTTTACCATTGGTTAGTGGGTGTTTGGATGTGTTTTTCTAGAGTAAATTACGGGTTTGGTCCTTGTGGTTTAAGAAATTACAGTTTTGGTCCTTATTCATTTACTATTTTTATTTTTATGGTGAGTAATTTATTGTTGTTTCGGTCCTTGGTTTACAATTCTTTATTATTTTGGTCCCTTCTATTTTAAGGTAGGAATTAAATCGGGGACGATAATAACAATAAATTGTAAACTATAAGAACGGAAATTAACCACAAGGGTAGTGCCTGATTGGTTTGAGCTTGGCTCCAAAGGTCAAAAGTACCAGGAGGTCACAAGTTCAAATCTAATGAGAAATAAAAATCCTCTTGTGGCCACGAAGGTCCAAATGCAATGACTCCGGGCTTTCTGCAAAGCAGCTGGTCGTCATGGGATTAGTCGGCTCGCATAGCGGATTGGATATTCAGGTTAATCAACAACAACAAAAAACGAAAATTGTAATTACTAAACATCGAGAACGAAAATCAAAATAACTAAGAAACCACAAAGACAAAATTCATAATTTACTCGTGTTTCTCAGAGTAAGTTACGTTTTTAGTCCTTGTGGCTTGTTAAAAATCGAGATTGTTTTTCTTTTGGTTTAGAAATTGCGGTTTTCATTCTTATGGTTTGTAATTCATATTTTTGTTCTTATGTTGTATAATTTGTTGTTGTTTCGGTCTCTGTGTTTTACAATTGTTTGTTGTTTTGATCCCTTGTACATTAAGTTAGGAATTAGTTTAGGGATAAAAATAGCAATAAATTGTAAATTATCACACATGGTATTGTGATCAAAGAGTTCATTAGCAAAATGCATAATATCATGATAAAAAAAGTCAACTATCAATTTGAGTGTCACTGTCAATTATCTTGGATAGAGACGTCGAACTCACGTTCGGGTTTTGAAGAAGTTATCAGTGATAACTAGGAACGAAGATGAATTTGAGTACTCCTTATAGAGATGGGAACTTCTACCCTCGAGTATATTGTTCTGAATGGGGAGTTGATTTCTATACTTGATGTGAAATACGTGACAGAGGGGTTGGGGATGGTTCCACGTGATTCTAACCCGACCCAATTGATTCTTGTATTATATTATTAATATTATATTATAACTTATATATATATATATATATATATATATGTCATATTGATTTTGTCACTTTGTTACTAAGTGACTGCTTGACGGGTCCCAATACCTAGCAGCGATTCCTCCCCCCACCATCCCGAAACCGGCAGGGATCAGACGAGACCAGGATGAATGACATTAACAGGAAGCAAGATTGGGGATTAGGGTGTATTCTCCATTCATCATCAGTCTCGTTTATATTCCTAATTGCTTACCGTCTCTAAACAAATGTTCATAATCAAATAACTATCCAGACACTTAAGAATGTACCACATAATTCAGGATTTTCTTTATTTTTAGTAATACTTTGTATTTTTTGTGTAGTGTAATGTTTTGGTCATTTTTACTAAAATCAATAATAAATGACAATAATTAGAAAGGTGGTCATCCCTTCTTAGATATTTTTTAGTGGATTTATAACTTTTGATAAAGGTTGGTGCCTTTCAATGTCTTTTAAAAAAATACAAAATTAAATCATATTAATATAAAATATAAGAGTATCTCCAACAACTATGTTAAAATAAAGAATTTTTGGAGATTTAACAAAAAGAAAATTGTTGTAATAACCATGCTAAAAAGGAAAGAGAGAAAAGGTGAAATCTCTAAATTTAAAGAAATTTCTAATACTCTGTATAGGATATATAAATAATATTTTAATTTTTTTTCTATAATTAAAAGATATTAAAAATAAATGTTTACAAATTTTTTATTAGATATGTTGAATATTTTAATAATATAGTTAATGTTAAGTGCATCTCTAACAGTTATGTTGTAATAAATTTTTAGTATTTAGAAAAGTTTTGTACTCCAACTTTCCAACGAAAAAGAAAAGGAAAATAAATGTTTAAGGTAGTAAAATAATATATTATAATATGTATTAATATTATAATAATAGAATTAATAATATAATTGCTAAAATAAAGTATCTGTTGAATTTAGGTGCAACTTTTTCTTACATATTTGAATTTTAATACTTTATTTTATAAAAAAAATAAAAAATGACTGTTGGATATGTTTTAAATTGTTGAAATAGAATAGCCGGTTGAGTTGAATATATAAAATTTTAAAGATTTTTATTTTTAATGCTCTATTTAAAAAACCTAAAATTGTATCGTGCAATGCAATGAGGGTCTGAAATATATACTTTGTTTTGTTGTTTGTTTTCTCGATTTTGTTTTACGGGTCGGATAGATTTAGAGATGAGTTGGTTATATTTTATTTTAAACTATATATCAATTAGGGTTTCAAAATTAAGGATTATAAAATGCTAATTTTATGGTTCAATCTATTTAATTTAAGTTTTAGAATGAATTACGGATTTGGTCCATATGGTATGTCAAAATTAAAGAGTAACGTCCATAAACTCAATTCATTATGGATTTGATCTTTGTGGTATGCATTTTGTTATGACTATAGTCTCTGTGACTGATAGAGTCAGCTAACCTAGTTAACTTAAGAGTAAAAAAATACCAAGATACCCTTGATTTTAACTTTTTTCTATAAAAAATAAAAAGTTAATGTGTGTGTGTGTATATATGTACAAAAAACATATACACATACAATACGTACAATGACCAAACAAAGTTGAAGTCATTTGGTAAAGTTGCATTCCCCATCGGTGAAGTCATCTACCTCTGTTGAAACCATTCCTGAACGGAGCTCTCCCCCTTCCCCCTCCCCCCCATCTGATCAAAGCCTTTACATATAAATCATACGGTATTTACTATAATTTCCACAAAAAACCCTTATCATATGGATCTTTGTCGATGTTAGTGGAGTTAGATTAAGAACGAAGTTAGGGTGGAGGAAAGTAATAGCAACGACGACCAATGAAAAGTGTCCATCAATTGAGTAGAGGGAGTGTGGTGGTCACAATGGTTTCTACTTGTCTTACAGGGAGAGCAACATGTAGCATATGGGTGGTGGTCAGTGGAAATAGAGGGGGAAGAGATGAGTAGAGTAATGGTTGTTGGCGACAAAGTGAGAGAAGCAGTGAAGGGAGATTATGGATCCGATTAAATGAAGATGGGTTGGGGAGACTGGGTGAAAAGGGCGATCCATGGAGATGATTGATTGGAAAGGTGGGAACGGAGGAGTTTGGTAAGCCATGACTGCCGGTGAGAGTAAGGATGCAGGGGGTGGGGTGGGGCGCTAGTGAAGGAAGGAAAAAGAGTGTTTGAGATGGGTTGTATCAAAATTCTCTTTTGTCCTGAGTGGGAGGGAGGAGTTTGGTAATTCATGGCTGCCGGTTTGAGAGTGAGGACACAAGGGTGGTGGTCGCTGGTGAAGGAAGGAGAAAGAGAGTATGAGATTCCGTATTTGATACAGGAATTTAGTAAGCGATATTTGGTCTCTCTAATTTTTATTTTTTTAATAAAAAAAGTCAAAAACAAGGGTATTATGGTCTTTTTACTCTTAAGTTAACTAAGTATATGGACTTCATTGTCAGTAATAAAATGCATACCTCGAGAACCATACCCATAATTAATTGAGTTTAGGGACACTAGTCATAATTTTTGACACACCACAAGGACCAAATATGTAATTCACCCTAAGTTTTATTGCAATTTAAATTTAAAACCAAAAATATATTCTATTTTGGTTTAATTATGACTTGTTTTATAAAACTAGAAGTGTATTCGCGCAACATAACGAGATACATCTCGATTTTAATGTTTCATTTTACTTTGTCATCTGTCGATGTTATAATATTGTTTTATGTAGTTTTAAGAAAAACAATAATGTTTTTATTTTTGAATAAAATATATATCTGGAGATATCTTAAAATATTAAAAAAAATATATCGATATTAATATCAAATCAACTATTTAAATGTTCTTGTTTTGTTGTATAATTTTTTAATTCAACTTTTTCTATTATAATTTAATTTAGATTTAATAACCAAGTAATTTTTTTTGATTTAATAATGTAATTTTTAAAAATATAATAATTAAGTATTATGTTATAACATAATGATTATCCTAATTATATTTTAGATTTTTTATATTTAAAATGGAATGTTTATCTAGTATTTGATTATGTTTATCTGCAGTTAGTTACACGAATTCAAACATAAAGCTTAAATAAGTTGTGCGTAATATTTGTAATTTTAGTTAATTATATAGCAGTAATGCTTAAAAAGTTGTTTTTATGATATTGTATCAAATACATTATAATATAGTATAGAACTATAGATAATGATAAAGTATTTTGTCGGTGGTCAATAATCGTTTAATTTAAATGATAATTATACTTAATGTATTATATATTCAAAATTAAAAAGATAATATATATTAATAAAAAAATAAAAATGAGGTGCATTATCTTGTATTTTGTCGTGTTTATCGATTAGTTATATGAAGAGTTTTATAATTTCAGATATTCTATAATTCTATAAAATAAAAATAAGTGTTTAACCTAGAAGTGTTTATCTACTGTTTATTTACAGTTAGTTACACGAATTCATATATTGAGATTTAATAAGTTGTAATTATACACAATTTACTTGTAATTTTGAATTTTAAGTGATGTACATCATGTATATTTTTTTAAAAAGTTTTTATCAAATACTTTATAATATAGTATATATATAGATAACATACTCGGGTAATGCAGTTGTATATCGATTTTAATGTTTCAATTTATTATTCGTCTATGTCGATTTTATATGATTTGAAAAAAATATTATGTTTTTATATTTAAATAAAATATAATTTGAAGACCACATAAAAATTCAAAAAAAAAAATACCATTATTAATATCAAATTAACAATTTAAAACTTGTATTTTTTTTTGAAGTTTTTTAGTTTATTTTCAAACATATAGCTTTAAAAAATTATACTTTTACAATATGTATTTGTAATATTGAATTTTAAGTAGAACAAATTGCATGAAAAAATAACGTACTTTAACTTGATTCATATTATGGGTAACGTACCTTCGAAACTTTCATTTTGGTACCTAAAATGTAAAGTTTTAAACATTCAAGTATTCAGGTAACCGATCGAAGACTAATTTTAGATTAAAAAAAATTCATATCACTAACCACGTCAGTAAATAATACTAAGTTGGATATCACATCACTTGCCACATCATCATGATAACCGTTTAATGTTTCAACCGGTTATCCGAGTATTTAAATGTTTAAAACTTTACATTTTAGGTACCAAAATGAAAATTTTGAAAATATATCACCCAAAATAGTAATCAAGTTAAAGTACGTTATTCTTTCATGCAATTTTTCTTTTTAAGTAATATGTATTGTTAAACTGTATTTGATATATTAAAAGTTAATTTTTATAATATCTATACTACATATATAAGCATTTAAGACAAAGTCTTAAATACAACTCTTTATGCACAAGTTACAACCATTTTATGCAAGATTTTCAAAAAACTCTTAAGTACAACTCTTCAAACATGTGGTACAAGCTTTTTATGCATTGAGTTTATTAGCAGACCTTGCTTTTTCTCTTCTCCTCTCTTCTTCTTCCCTTTCCAGCTTTCCTTTCCTCTTTCCATCAGAGTCTTCACTTTCTTCACCTTTTACTTTCCCATTTCAAATTCAAAATTCAAAATTCAAAATCAAAGCTTMAAAAGCATGGTCATCTCCTCCACGTCTCTCCAGTCTCCATCTTGCTCTCCTCCACCACAATTCCYATCTTCCCTCGCTTCACTTTCTTAGCTTTGTGATTTCAAGATGGATTCCGACTGCAAGAGTCCACAACACCGTCTAGAGATGATCGAATATTGGGGAATATATTTGATGGTATCCAGGTTCGCAAGCTCCTGTTTGCTGTATTTTTGTTTCAACCATATTTGTGCTATATTTGCTTTTCCTTCTTCAAGAGTTACCAACTGCAGTTTCTTTTATTTCTCAACCCATGATTCAGAGGCCTCTTAAGACTATTGCAAAAAGATCAGGTGATGTCTACATTCCTCGTGGTGTATCTGTCCCAGCTCTTGACAAGGATATACTCTGGGAATTCCAGCCTAAAAAACTAGGTGATTATACATTATCCTCTATTCAGTGGGTTTGTAGCCTGGTGGTGCCAGTTTTTCTAAATATCTTAAGGATGGGTCGTGAAATCTCTATACACCCCTAAACTCTAGAAAATTGTGGATCCTTATGTTCCGAAGTCTGAAGCTGTTTCTGTTATGGAAATTTTGTTAATTTCAATCTGTTTTCTGATGTCAGGCGAGGGAGATCTTGTAACAAGTGGAGATCTGTATGCTGTAAGTCATAACATCCCTATTATTTACAAACTTAAAAAAGTTTTCGCCTGTTCATCTGTATCCAGAATCTTTATTTCCCCTAAATTGTTAACTTCTCTTCTCACTTCTCTACAGACTGTGTTTGAGAACAGTTTAGTGGAACATCACATTGCTTTACCTCCTGATGCCATGGGAAAGATAACATATGTTGCACCACCTGGTCAATACTCATTGAAGGTTTTTTTTGTTAAACTTCTTTTACCATCTTGAACATGCCTTTTATAAATTTTAATATTATCATCATGTTCGTATAGTAACTGATTTGGCATCTAGCAGGACTGTTTTTGTGATGATTTTAGCTTCATTGATATATATATAGGTAAGAATGAAATGCTTGACTTATCTGTAGGATATCAGCAATGTTGTGTTCTAGGATGTCTATAGCTCTATAAGAGGAATAGAAGATAGTTTATTTTCTGTATAATGTAGATGGTTGACTCATTAAGCCTAAATCCCATCTCTTATGATGTGAATATGCAAGCTGGTATATAAAGATGCAATTTTATGGAGATGGAGGGTAGATCAGATCATTATATGCTAATTAAGGTCATGTTGTGTCTGTTTAGAATAAGATAAATGTCTTATCATATTGTTTTCTACAAATCTTTGTAAGTGGTTAGATGGTTGCACCTGACCTATCGCTAAYGAGTCTATTGTACATTGGGATCATATCACTTGGGAGTAGTTATCAGCTGATGCGTAATTTTGTACCTGTGGGATCCTGAATATCACAATTTTGTTTCTATACAGGACACTGTCTTGGAGCTAGAATTTCAAGGTGTCAAAAAGAAATTTACAATGCTTCAGGTTTTCTACCTCTTTTCTAATATGATGATCAACATATATAAGTTTTCGATATCCATTGCACCTGTGATTTCTTACTTTCTGTATTTCTTATTCAGACTTGGCCTGTACGTACACCTAGGCCTGTTGCATCAAAGCTTGCTGCTGATACTCCTCTTCTTACTGGACAGGTACCTATCACTAGCTTATGTAACATTTATGTTTATTTTGGCTTTCTATCATTGCCAATTTGCTTCTTAATGTGATCCTAATAATCTATTGTATGTATTAGCGTGTTCTTGATGCTCTATAAAAATCGTCATAAAAACCATCCAACTTAGAAGATTACTAAGGGGCCGTTACAAAACGCTTACCCGGTAAGTGATTATCGGGTAATTTTTCTTACCGATGAACATGGCAAGAGTCAAAAATCTTACTCGGTAAGAACAATAATAAAGATGGAGAGTTCTTACTCGGTAAGTGA